TTTAAAACCCCAAGGCAAGTATAACGTACAAAGAATATCTGAAAGCCAATCAAATTCACGAAATTGTATATCGATCATTCTAGAATATGATTTTCTAATTTGGTAAATCAGCAAACTGTAATCTTGTTGCATATTTTACTGATAGTAGATATTCTTGCTAGATTAGTAAATTGCGTGAAGAACAAAAAAATTATATGAAAAATATTATTGTCTTGTAAGACCTGCAAATACTTGCTAGAACAGTTGCTATTTTTGCTTTTTTTCATTAATTCGTAATAAGCGAGTCTTAAAAGTATGTATATCTTTATATTTATTTAAATTTTTTATTTTATTTTACACTAATACTAATACTAAAAAAAATAAATAAATAGATACTTTATTTACAGTATCAAGATTTACCAGAAAATATTGCCAGGTTTTTGGATAACAATAATTGGTGGCAAACGATAGAAGAACTTGAATCATATTTACTTTCTTTTACGGCAATATTAAATCATCTTTAGCGAGATGCCGCACAGTTACCAGATATTTTATATTCATTTGCATATTTTATGCAATTATATAAAAATCAAACAGATGATTTTAGTAAACTATGGTTCAGTGTTTAGAGATATGATAGAGTCAATGAAAACAACCTTTGTTGCTTCTTTCTTTTTTTCTTTATCCTGCATACCATAGCAAAGTTTTTAATAATCATTCTACACTAAATCTACCTCAAGTTGGTTTATGGGTAAAATATTACTACAAGACATGGTTTGGAAAACTACCAATCGTAATATTATCTGAATTTTCAAAATTTATATCGAAAGAATATCTATTTGATGATGAAATAGCATCTAATTTTGTCAAAATCAGGAATATTGGAATTTTTCTGCAGGTACTACAAACGAATTAGACATGTTTGCAATCTGTTTATTCTTAATTTGTATCAATTCTGCATCATGTGAATGTCTATTTTCAGCAATAGGCTTTTTTCATAACTCACGATGCAACAGATTACCAGTATATAAAAATTATTTTTAAAAAAAAACTGGTTACTAAATATATATATGTGTCAATATACTAACATTTTTACTCTTAGTTTGATAAGATTTTTTCAATAGCACAAATGCAAGCTGAAATTAATTATAACTATACAATTGAAGCAGCAAAGTTACTAGAGCAAAGCGTATTAACAAACACAAATACTATATTTGGTTCTGATGATCATAAACGGCAACAAATAAATTCTTAGAAACTTGAGGTTGGACAAGAAAGTTCTAACGTTGTAGAATTAAAAACTGGTAACGAAAATGAAGAAAAGATTGCCGTAGACAACTCAGAATCAAGTGCAAATAAAGACATTAGTGATGAGTAGAAAGCAGTTCTTAGAGAATAGTCTGAAGATCTTGTTTCCAAAGAAGAAAGTGCTGAAGAAGCAGAAAAGTTGTTTTTGGAAATAGAGAAAATGGAAGTTTTATCTAATGAATTATTGGTAGATCTAAAACATTCCGCAGATGACTCTATAGGAAAATAGAAACTTGCTAATTTATTTGATTTCGAATTTTCAACACCCTCACATGTAAAAAATCTGATAAAATTTTAAGAAAATTAGTCTTTTTTTTTTTTGGTTTAGTTGTTTTGTAAGTAATCATCGACTAGTTTAGTATTCTATTGCATATTTTTTTGTTTATAGAAAGAATTAAGCTGCCTTTCTTAATATAAGTATAAAATTTATTCTTAATTTTAAAAATTAACGATCTAATATTTACTAATCAATTGTATTAGCATAAATCTGTAAGTATATATCACTTTTTCTATTAGTATTTTGTAGGATTCGATATTCTTTAACCAATTCACACAAACTTAATAGGCAAAATTTAAATGTGAAGCTAATTTTTAAAAGCTATGAACCATTGCTATCAGTATTTATATCAGAACAAAATCTACATATAATATTGTCATTTAGTCCTAATGTGGTGTATAAAATTTTATTGCTTTTTACCTTCTTTTATCAGTATGGATTTGTAGTATCATTATAGTAATCATTTAATTAAGAGGTATCTTGGCCAAGTTTGTCAAGAATCAGTTAATCTATATCATACAAGGTATTGTGATTATGTGTTTTTTCTTGTCAGGCAAATTTCTATTTGAGGTATGACATACATATATATTAGATTCATAGGATTTATGGTTGAGATTTGTATTTAAGTTACTGAGTTTTGTAAAAAAAAAAAAAATAGTAGCATGTGAAGGTATAAGCTTGAAGGGTAAAGCCATAACTTAATGGTAGATATAATAGAAAAAGAAGTTTTAGACCACAAGCTGAAAAAATTAAAGAAAGCTGGATACCTTGAAGTTATCGATAGGAGACGAGATTATGTATTAGAAAAATGAGAACAAGAAAAAAGATTAAGGGTCATAAAAGAATCAAAAAAACTGTGGCCAGAAGAGGAGGTATGTCATCATTATTTGTCATGAATTAGTTATATATACTCATTTATTTCATTGAACGTATTCTATTCTAATGCTTCATAATATATAGGAAAAAAAAACATTAGAGTATATGACTAATTCAAAAGAACAAGCATTGAGAAAACTATTAAAGTCTATATTTATTCCAAAGTATGTACCATAATTTAGACAATAGTGTAAATTGTAAATTATTTAAAAGGTTAATTTTAATGCTTTCTAGAGTATATAGAAAAACAATACTAAAAAAAGAAAGGACAAAACAATTAGAAGAAATAAAGAGATTGCTAAAACTAGAAGAAAGAAAAAACGAGTTACGTTTAATAGTCGCTAAAATAATTCAGAAAAAATTTCAAAAAACTGGTAAATTTCTTTCACACACAACTTTTTATGTATTTGTTTTCACATTAAGCTAGAAAATTTGTAGTCTATAAAAAAACTGGTACTAATGAATTGATGATACAGATGGCTTGGATGAAAAGGTAGGGTACAAAGCAAGGAAGTTGCATGAATTGAAAAGGACTAAAAGAGATAAAGAACATGGTATTTATTTTAGTGAAAGAATCTTTGCCATTAAAATGATACCATGTCTTTATTATCATATATTTTTTAGAAAAAAAAAAATAAGATATTGAATGCCAAATATTGCTATCAACATGGAACTGGTGTTAAAAAATGCGAATATAAGGCTTTCATTTATTATATAATGATGGGATACTGGTAAAACAAACAACTTGAATGTTGTTATGAAATTGAAATTATAAAAATTTTTGTGTGAAATGTCTAGAACATTATTATTTTAAAACATAAATAATTAATATTTACATAAAATATATTAAAAATTTACAATTGCATATAAGTGATGTACTATGTAACTTGTAACCTAATGAACTCAAGAGAACCCACCTAAACTAACACTTAGTAAATCTATTAAACAATTTGAATTATGAAAACTGAGGCTTTAGCTACCTCAATTTGAATGGTCTAAAATTTAATAAATCACCACATATAATCTTAGTTACAAGAGTACTTTTTTCACCATCAAAATCAAGACCAGTACTAAGTTTATAGAAATATATTTTATCCAGTGTTGTCAATTTTTTGTTCTATTGATAAAAAACTATATTCTATTCCAAATTCTATTGTTCTATTCTATTGTTCTATTATTATATTTGTTTTTTACTATATTAATATTAATTATGATCTAGTTGTTAATTTTTTATTCTATTGATAAAAATTTTATTCTATTCTAAATTCTATTGCTCTATTCTATTGTTCTATTGTTCTATTCATCTATTGCTGACAATACTGATTCTTATATATTCAATCATCTTTTATATATTTTATAACTTTATATACTAAATATAGTCTAGTATTTCTCATTATATTTTATAACTTTATACTATTAAATATACAAATCTTACAATTTAGCCTTATTTTTAAATTCATTTAATTAAATACTTTATTTACTCTACATTTATTTTTTCTTAAAAAAATCTAGGTAAGTCTTTGACCACTCTAGTAGGTTTAGGTCATGATAAAGTAGTCTGAGCTTTATTCTTGCATATAGTTTTTACTTTTTATATTTTATATATTAAGGTTAGCAACTCTTTGTAGTTACTATAATAAAAACTATTAATAAAGATATAAGCAAAGCCTCATCCTAATACCAAAAAAAAAAATAATAATAATAATTATATATTATACAACCTATTTATATTAAATACTGTATGATTTATATTATTAAAAAAATATTAATATAATAAAAAAATACTTATAATTTCTATTATTCTTGTTAATTTCTAAAAATTTTATTAATTTTAAGATTAGTTTATTAGTTTTCTATATATTTTATTATATACTGAATAGGACCAAAGTATTTGGCAAGATACTCAAGATACTCTACCAACCAGATTGCTAGCTGAGTAACTAAAAGAAATCATTTTTATTATAAAGTTAAATTAATCACTATTCTATATAAATTAAATGCTATTATTAAATAAATATTGTCAACTTTCTTTAAATACAATTCACACAGACTATATAAAAATTTTAAAAAATCTTGTATTTAGAAAGATATTGAATTTAAAAAAATAAAAATCTATAAGTATATATATAATAGAGATACAGCAAAACTATATATTTATAGAGATTTTTTATAGAATGTGTATTTAAAAAGATTGTATTTATAGAAGTCTAACTATACTTGCTAATAATATTTTTTTAATTTTAGTATTCTATAAGTATTCATTTATATTTATTACAAGTATTTTTTTATTATTATAATTTAATATAAAATAACTATTTTTCTTTTTTCTGTATTGGTAACCTTATCAGTATCTTTATTAAATTAAAGCAAATATATAAATATATCCTAAACTATCTAAGTTATAGATCTAACATCACTTGACTTTCTCTATAAATATCCAAATGTGGTTTGTTTTACTAGTTAAAACTATTGCCCATACTAGAGAGCTATATCAAGCTAGCTAGCAAAATTATAGCAAGGTAGTTTCAATTTAAAAGAATTTTTAACTATACTTAATTGACAATTTTTCTCTTCTAATCTATCTTTTTCTTTAAAACAATAATCTAATTCTAATTCTATATTAATAACCAATTCTATTTTATTTTTTACTAAAGATTATTCTTTTGATTATACTTGTATTTCTGTTTTTTTTTTTTTAATTTATTTTATCTTTTTTAATTAAAGACCCAGCTTTCAAAGATCTTTTTATATTCTTCTTTTTACACTTTTCCTTTCATTTTGTAGCTCTGAATTCAGTTTTTTCTAAAAATATTCTTTTGTAGACCTTTCTTTCTTCTATCTGTCTTGGGTCTTCTTTTAGTTTTTTTATTTCTAGGTCTTAATTGGTCTATTCAGATCTTCTTTCTTTCTTGTTCTAGGTTTGAGATTCTTCTTTTTTTTCTTTTTCTTTCTAAAAACTGGTTTTCTTTCTAAGAACTTCTCTTATATTTTGATAAAAGCTTTTTAATTACCAAACAATTCTACTAAGATTCTTTTTACTATTTCTAATATGGTGCTAGAAGCCTATACTTAACAGTTATACGAAGCGTTTCAATTTTTTAAATAGCTATAACTTTTTATCTAAGAGGTTTAGAAAAAATCTGTCTGGTAACTTTATAGAGCTATATTAGCTCTACATATCTGCCAAATTTCATCCTGTAAAGAGTTGATGCTTTTTGAAAATTAAAATTTTATATATAAATTTATAAATTTATATATAAAATTTCAATTTTCAAAAAGCATCAACTCTTTACAGTGATGAGATTTTGAAATGAAATTTGGCAGATATGTAGAGCTGATATAG